TGGTCTGTCGGTCAGTCAGTCACTCGGTAGTGGAACCAGTCAGATACTTGATAACGATACACCTTTGCCAATCCAAGTAAATTAGAATGGATTAATAGAGATGGCAAGTTTTGAGCCTCGCTATCCGATGCAGAAACAAGTTTGTGACTTGTCTCGAACTTGAGACATCTCTTACGAATCGAACCTTAGATCTTCATATTTTTCCAGTCCGATAGTCAACCCCTGAGTTACAAAGAATCTGTCGGTAACCTTTACTTACTTCAATTCAAGGAAGAGACCTATCCCCCCATCATATGTCAACCCTTTAACCCTTGTTAGTGATTAGCAGCTAATTTCTCCCTACAGTATCACAACTGAATCAAACATTAAGGTCAAAATAATAGAGAATACGATTGCAGACTTATGAAGCTCTTGATTGCTAAATATATTCTCCTTATCAGTTTTATATGAAATATATGGAGAATGGTTTGGAGAATGTGCAGGCTAATTTAAGAATGTAAAGATTTAAAAGGAAAATAGATCCGCAATGGTGACCCGCTAGCGAATGCGGCCGTAGAAAAATCCGTCTTTTTAATGTAAATTGTACTTCTGCTTGGTATCTTTGTAACCATTTTTTTGCCTTCATTTCATTACCTGTCAGATGAAAGTTCCTATCATATGACCGTATGGCCCGCACGCGCAATGCCATGGAAACCATAATGAATGGTAACTTGTGTGGGGTCGGGTGGGTAGACGTGAGCCGGTCTGACTCGAAGAAAAAAAAAAGAAAAGCCCTGCTTTGGGTTGAAATAAAGTTAAGAAATTTTCAGCACATAATGGTCATATGATAAAATGCTTATTGACTCAGATTGATCGGGCGAGACGGGAAAATATTTGGCTCTCGGTCATGACGCACGGATTTCGGTCCGTAGGTTACGACCTCGAGCCGCATATTTTTCCGTCCGACCCTCTCGGTCAATAAGTACTTATGCTTTTCGAGCATGTAGGAGAATGCTGGAGCACTCTGTGCCGTGTCACCAATCTTCGTACAGAACTTTGACTTGGAGTCCAACCACTGCCAGGCGTAATACTCTGATTGAGGAAGTTTGCGGCGACTTTTCGAGAAGTAAACATATTTATAGTCTTTGCCTTTCTTCTGCCATTGAAGCCAGAGCTTGTCCAGAAACGAATGATGTAAAACTACTTCAGGGGCGTTGGCAGATGTCGTCTACTCGAGCATCGTTCCACCGATGAACTCGTGAATTTCATAATGATAAACATAGCGTATTGTTTCCTCAAATTTGAAGAACTCTTCTACTGGCTGAGCTAAAGTTCTCTTCACGTGATGCGTGCTACCGGTCAAGCATTGGTAGGAGAAAACTCTTTTCAAACACCCTCCCCCTACGGATCTCAGCAGTTGCCATCTATCCTTACTAAAAGGCCCAGTTTCAACGCAGAAGTTAGCGAATGGGTTCCCATCTCCACCCAGTCCATGATCCCCTGGGTTCCAGATGTCTTCGTCACCAGACTCTCTCCACCAGTGACAAGCAACTTGGCTCCAGTCCCAGTAGGGAATAGTCACCCGGCAATTTATTCTACGGAGAAGGTTTTCAAATGTGACCAGCCACCATCTATGCCACGGAAGGAAGATGAATGGAGTTTGGTGAAGAAGTTGGTGGGAGGTATTTGTATGATAAGCGACGACTTTTTCAAAGCTACGTCGGAAGAGAGCATGATTAGAAGCCATTTTGTATGTGCGAAGAAAGCGGCGTCTTGAGTTAATGTCCATTTTAGTGAATTCCTTCCTAACGCGATAACAGTTCATAAGCTTGCCATCCCGGCATTCACAGCGTTCTTCGCATTTGTTCAACACGTACCTTCCTTCCTCGCAAGCGGTTGCATTTGCTTTGCTGAATCGTTCACTATCAGTGATATTTTCTTGAGAACTGGAGCTTGTAAGGTTAAATAATACGAGAACCACGAGGAAACATATCTGGACCATAATCATCCTGCACTGCCAAGAAAAGGACAAAATCAATCATAACCCAAACAAATGTTAAATATATTAAATACTGCTGCGATCGAATTCTCGGGTTTTTCTTTAGGCGGCTTTTACAACTTTCAGTACAATTTTATTTCGCTAATACGCTGAACATTAAAGCAAAACGCACCGACTAGTAAGTGAATATGGATATTTTCCCTATGCGAGAGTTATCCCTGATTGGCAACACAATTTGTCAGCAGTAGACAGTAAAACTTAACAAATCCTCGGACCTTGCCGTTTACGATCTGTAAACACCGTCGTCGGCACCCATTATAAGATGATCTCTAAGTATCCATTTTCCATGATCGACATGAGTAAACAATTTGAAGTTATGAAATAACTGAGATGCTGCACGCGCCCTGATTGGTCAAAAACCGATCGTTTATTGCGCCGGTAAACCCATAAAGGATTGAAACATTTTCCTGTATTTTTTTAAGCCTATTTTATAAAAGTAACAAACCTCGAAATAGCCCACGCGCGGTGCTGGAAGAACACGCAAACCTTTCTCGTGTTCTCCCAACATCCCGCGTAAGTTATTACGCCGGGAAACCAATAGAAGTAAATAGTTCGGTCAGCCGATAGGAAAATTTTCTCAACGTTTTATAAATGTAAAAATATACGTATAAAAGATTTGGTAGTACTGAATGGTAAAAGGGAAAATTTCCTTTTTTTTTAGTAAACAATTTGTAGAATAATAAATGGCAGATGGACTTTTCGATCGCCTCCTCAACTTGACTGGCTATTGAGACAGTGACAAAGGAGAATTTGATTGTTTCAATTTATGTTTTTATTCCTCTAAAGAATATATTTTATAAGAGGTCAGGCTATTTCCTTATTAAGATTAGAGTAGAAAATTTAAATGGTCTTTTACTGGTGTCATTCATCGCTACATACTGTTTGGGATGTTGGTCTTTGAGGAGTGTAGAGAACCACTTTGATCAATTTATTTTTAATAAGTGATAACGATTCAGAAAAACTAAGATGAAAATAAGGTGAGAAGTAGATAATTTGTCATTTTTGCTTAAAACTGTGTTGCGTCTCAAGTGATACACGTTTCGATGTCATAATATTAAATAAAAATCAACCTACAAAATAATTATGAATTCATCCAAAGGCTTAGTAGCATGTTGACGCAAATAATTCTTATGACTCGTACCTTTGTAATCGCCCAGAAAGTCTTTGAGTTGTATTTTCAAAAATATCCTGTGAGGAGAGATGTTAAACACTCGATGCTGGATACAAATTTCGCTCCTGACAAATGATCCAACCCTGAAATGAAATGTAATTAGTTTACTCACTTTAATTTGCAAAATTTTTTTAGGTCTACACTGAAAAAATATTTCGCTGTTAAGATTATTACTTAGTAACAAAGTGCGATGAATTCATAAAGAGATAACAGTGGACCTATCAGCGGCTGCAAAACTAACTTAAATCAAAGAAGGATGGATGCCTTCTTTGTTAATAGTGTACGCTCCGGGAATCCAAAATGGTCGACTCCTACACTTTAAAATAAAAAGAGGCAAATTGAGCCCAAAGGGCAAATTAGCCCTAATGTCTCGAGGGCTAATTTTGCCCGTTCAACCAAAACAGGTCCAAAGAGTACCATTTAGACCCCTTCAACCTCTGAATTAGCCCCGATAATTCTCAATCTTTTGAAAATTTCTCTCAATTTCGTCCTTCTAAGAACCAAATGGGAGCTGCTGATTTTGTCCCAACAAGGTATAAAAAAGCTAGGCCGCACTATGCAAACGCTCCGAATAGGGGAAACCTAGTGTCTGATTTTAACTCGCTAAAAATTACCGAATTATTAATGTTGCAATTAGTAACGTTTTCTTAAACACAGAGAAATCCCTTACCTAAAGAAGTTGTCTTGCTCAGTTTGCGTACTGTTCTGTCTTAAGATGCACAAGTCCAAATAATTAAATTGCCCTATATGAATCAATCAAAAAGTTCTGCGAAAACTCATCTATCAGCCTACGTGATCAGAGTGACACGAAGGTGATATTTGTCCGAGTATAAGTTAAAACATGACTTATTTTGACTTGTACAATAAAAATAGTTGTCATATTGGCCACTTTTGACAACAGATCAAGAATAGGTTAAATACTGACAAGCTCAATTTATTTTTCCTCATTTCCTTTTTCTAACTTTCTCGATATAAACTTATTTGGTAACGAACGTTATAACACATGAATATGGGGATTAGGTTTCTAAAGAAACTTTGGTTCTGCGTCGGTGGGAGAGTATCACAGGGTAATTTAGTGTTATCAACTGAATTTCAAGTCTTGTTTCTTTTCAGCTGAAACTTTACATTCTACTATGAGTGGACACGTGTGGTGACAGGAGACAAAAGGTACCATATGTAATATATACTAGGGTAACGAATGCTAAATTAAAAACCAACAACAACAGTGAAACCAGCGGCACTCAAGGATTTAAACTAAAGGAAATAAAAGGTAGCAAATAAAGATAGAGGGTTCTGACTCGTGAGGATTCAAACCTCACTCTATTGTATTTCACCATCAAATTCTCTACCTTTTTGTTTTTGATAAATCAATAACAGTAAAAAAAAAAAGGTTTCAAACCCCAAAGGTTCTAGATTCATTTCGGTTGTCGGCTGTAACCATCAGAGGACTGTGTCTGCATTCAACCAGGGAGTGTACTTTCTCTTTCTCCTGCTTCATTGACATTCAAAGCTAAAGTACTTAA